CATGAACCATCATGCAAAAGAGGCTCATGCTGGTAGGATGATCAGCATTCAGTGAGAGCTATGACCACAAAACTAAAAGTCACTAGCTATCATGATTCTTGAGTTACAGGAAAATCGCTACTCTTGTTGAGTACTGTATGTAGTTAGACGGTTAGCAAGCACGAAAATCAACAACGCATATTTTTTGTACAAGACTTTTGTTTTTTATGTATGTGCCGTTCGTAGGTTTTTTTCGCTTGTGGTGTAGATATTTTACTTGTTTTTGTTTATCGTTACATCTCAAGCTGTGCGTTGATTCCAAAGGTGCAGTCGATAAATTGTTTAAACATTCTGTCGCTTTCGAAAATTTTTGAGTGAAACTCAGATGTGTTTTTTGATTGTTGTTGTTTTGTTTTCATAGGTTTTTTGTGCATCTTTATGGGATTTTTACATTGTTCTTGCACAGATGGACTGCCATTTTTACATAATATAATTCATAACCATGACTCGCTTATCTCTTCTCACTAAGTCAAAAAGAAGCTATCGAACACTTTTACCTAAACTAAAAAATAATCCATCTAGTACAGAGTTGAGCTGAAGTGTGTTGTCTCATTGTAAAACATTTTGAATAAGTTAATAATAATAAGGTAAATGTTTTGCAAACTAATAAATTTATGTCAAACAATACTGGGCACACATAAGAGCGTTTTTTTCACAAGTATTATTATGCCAATTACTGAAACTAAAAACACCACCATTTGACTAATAAAACTCGCTGTAATAGCTGTTTCTGTATTCATCTTAAGATTGAACACCGATACCTTTCGAGCAATGTCATAAATTTGTTTAGCTTTCTCTCTTGTATCGGCCATTTCCATCACTAATTTGTGAAGACGTTTTATATCTAATTTTGTATAATTTCTTGTTTTATATATAGATAGGTTTCCTTGTTGAATATCATGTGTTATTACAGTGCCGTTTGAAAGTACATAGACGTTATTACTACCACTTGAGCTGCACGATATATCTTCTGATTCTAAAACATAATTATCACAACGTAAGTGATTTTCACATGGTATTGTTATCAACGACAATGGTTCAATTTGTATTATATATTTAGACGTCGAATTTGTTATTGTGCACGATATTTTTCGATTAATTCCAAAAATAAATGTGTTCATGGATAGTTTATATACACGAAATGTGTCTTTCAGTAACTGCCTAGATGAACAATGTTCATGATTGTCGTATGTAACGTTAGATTTAAACAAACTTCTTAAGCATAAATTGTTTACATTATCCATTATTCCTAATCGATGTCTACATAACAATAACCCATTGGTCCGCGAACATAGAAACATCTTCATATCCTCTTTGTACAATTCTATAAACTTATTTGTTTTGACATTAATTCCAATAAACATTGGTACTTCAGTTGTTTCATGTCCAACGTTTTGTACAAAAAATGGAAGACAGTGTACCTCAAAAACATGAAATGCGTTATTATCTATGTTTGTTGGTAATGCGAAGGTTGTACTAATACGTAGTTGAACAATAATTGCTGGTTCAGTTTCATTTTTTTGATTTGATACATTTTGTTGCACGAAATCAATGTTTTGTTCGTAAATCAAATGTTTAAGTAATGAGGCCATTGACATATTTAGACTAGTAATTGATGGATTTTTAGAAAATAATTGCTGATATAACACAAGTTTTTGTTCCGATGTCAAAAAATCAACATTATGTTCATTATTTTCAATATCGGTAACCGATTTAACTAAGATATTAGAATGAAGACGTTGCATGTTGTAAAGAATACGTGTAATCAATGAGCGAGCTTGACCGTTCAGAGTTCCCGATTTCATTTCATCTTCCACTTGTGTTAATTCTGTAACCACTGTTTCGACCACATGAGCCAATTCAACATTTTGATCGCTAATCACAAATATTTGGCCACTGTTGTTTACCGATGATATTTGATTCGCACGAGCTTGTTGCGCAATCAAATTAATTTGTTTAGCATTTCCATTACCATAAATTAAACGCTCACCTTTTCTAAATGTTGAATAAATCCATTTAGCTAAATCAATAATTCGTTTGCGCCGTGTTTTGTTGTTTATTAAACAAATTTTAGAATTCTTGTAGGTCGAAATTAATAATAAACATTCTTCATCATTAATAGGCATAAATGAGACTACTGGTTGATACTCATCCCGATGAATGTATGTTCCAACGGGAATTAAAACTATACCAGTATTGATATCGATTAATGGATCATCCGATGTTTTAAGATGTGTTAAAACACTATTATTATTGAACATCATTTTCATTTGTTCCACACATGAAACAAAATTCCCAAACATAAACAGAATCCTACAAGAAGATCAGCAGTAGAAATTTAAACTGTTTTCTTAGAATAATAACACTGCTTACCAGATACCAACCATATTGTATATCTTTATTTTATATTTGTCAAAAGTATGGCTGTATATTGTATAACGAAATATGGGATGTTTATTGCTGATGATTATTCAGATACGTACACGTCTAAGAATTTTACACTGTTAAAAACTCTAAGAAGTGCCGCAAATACCAGCTTTTTAATACTAGAGTTTAAACAGCAGGTCCGTATTCGAGTTATACAAAACCTACGAAATGTATTTCTCACAATTAGGGTTTTTGATGGTGTATTTTGACACTAACACGGTTTTCTCTCTATTCATTCATAGTAAAAATATCATCGGTCAATATTATTGACGAACAACGTCGCGGTATACTGTATACTGTAAAAAATGTACACTTTCTCCATATCAACTTTGAGAAAAGAAAGAGAAAAACTGAAATTTTGCAGTGATTAATCAAATAGATAATATATGAATGGTAGGGGATGCATAGAATAGCAGCAAAAAAGAACATATTTTACAAAAATTGTAACTTAAGTGCGGGAGTAATTTGTGATGGTAAATGACATATAGTTATCGAGACAACCACAAACACCCGCATGACTCCACCTACAGTATCCCGCACGTATCTTTTGAACAGTTTTCTAAATGCACTGACAGCTACAAATTTAGAAACGTTAGATAGACTCGATGAAGAAGTTTTCACGTTCATTGCAAATCAATTAAATCTAAAATGGCCAGTTCAACGTCATTGGCTCAAAACGGTGTGGAAAAACAATACTAGTAACATAAAAACAGAAGCTACTGAATTGTACAATGCATCCAAGCAAGACGCTGAGTACATAGTGGGCTTTTGAGCATTCTGCGAGTTCATTTATATGTTTTTTGTCTTTTAGAGATGATTCTGCACAACTCGCTTCACATGCATCATCAACCTACAAAGAACGTCCAAAATGCTGTGTTTGTAATTCAAGAACGGTTTTAACGAAAAGTATTTCAAAAACGGTTTTGGATCCTCAAACAGACAAAAAATTGCATTTGGGATATTCTAAATTATACAAAAGGCAGTTGGAAACATCTTTAATCAATAAGCCTATCCACAAATCTTGTTACAATAAATTATACTTTGCATCAGTACCATCCGAATCAAGGCTCAATCAGGCAGTAGAATCATTGTCATCATTGTCCATTCCACAAATACAAGCTGGTAAGGACACTGTCATCTTTGCACTACACTCTCAAAAAACAAGTGCCCCACCAGCTAAAAAAGGCACTTTGATGGACGATGAATGGGCCACTTTCAAGCATAAAAATGTATTCCATCGACAAAAGTGCCCTACTGTGGGCTACTTTAAGCGTCCCATTCATCGCTTGAGGGACACTTGTTTTTTCACAGTGTACTTAACTTCCTAACTTATAAGAGAAGATATCAGAGATAAATATAGATCAAAACTGTGACCCAAATTCGATCTTGAAACTCAGAAACTTTTTAATTATAAGCGGAATGATTGCTTTGAGATTGTCTAATTTTTTCAAAAGTACCACACTTTTAGTATTTACTGTCGCTTCGAAATCAAAGGATTCTCTGATTGTGACTTTGTAAAACACAATCAGTACCTCTAACGTCGGTTTGAAAGCAATTTTTCCATGAAAGGAAAAATTTAATTGAAAGTGAACCTGAAAAAATTTATTTTGGATGCGGTCCGATTCTGTCTCTCGAAGTGAAAGAATTTGTTGAATAGCTTTGAGAATAGCACATCAACTTCAGGGCGAAGTTTTAAATAAGCACTGCTTAAATTAGTTCAAATTATAACGCTGTGACTTATTCGTTCTGATCTAATAGAATGTTTTATCTTGTAGAATCTCCTCTGCTCGATTACGTGGAAACAAATGTGCCTTCGTCGTCAAACAATGAAAGTATTATGATGGATCACGATTACTCCGCAACTCAATTTACACCTATTTCAAATCGTCAACCGAGGCGCCCGATAGCAATAAAATCTACAGTACGAAAAATCATCAGTTCAATGTCGTTCTTTTCAAGCCCGAAAAGTCGTGAACATGAAACTAGAAATATGGCTGTTGAATCTCATACTCAGCAGTCACTACAGTTAATACCTTTAATGAATGCTAACTATCCACATTCAGATGAAACTGAATTGATTCACAGTCACACCCCAGCTTCCATCACATTAACACCTACTTCAGTCACAACAAGTGGCGAACATACCTTTCCTACGAACGATAGTGTTGGTCTCATTGAAACAGGCAGTGAATTATGCGGCAACCCATCCTTCTCAAGTACACCGACACTACAAAGACGATTTTCAAAAAGCGTAATATAGATGATATTATTTTCTACTTGAGATTTTTCTTACTTTTCATTTTAGAAATTAAAAATGGCGCCGCAAGTTTCGAATAAAAATACTGTCACCGATGATACACCAACACCACTCACAAGTTCGTCTGGTTTAGTTATATTTGAATCTGCATTCGACGAATTATGTGATTGGTTAATTGGTATTTTAAACACTGGTACAATTGTCTCGATGATGACTATACAACAAAAATATTCACAAATTTTAAATCTTCGAAACAACAAAATAACTGATTCAATCGTACGTCCATTATACATTCGTAAACGTTTGGAAAATCGATTTTGTGATTTGCTTCATTTCGAAACACCTTCGGATAAAAAAGGAACGTACGTTTCGTTGAACAGTTTATCAGCGTATATTCGATTATCTATTTCTAAATCGAAAGAAACTCCATATTCTGTTTTGAATCGTGATATGTCAAACGAAGGGACACGTGATCGAAAAGATTCAGAAACATTATTTGATACGATTCGTATATTAAGAAATCATATTANTTTGGAAAATCGATTTTGTGATTTGCTTCATTTCGAAACACCTTCGGATAAAAAAGGAACGTACGTTTCGTTGAACAGTTTATCAGCGTATATTCGATTATCTATTTCTAAATCGAAAGAAACTCCATATTCTGTTTTGAATCGTGATATGTCAAACGAAGGGACACGTGATCGAAAAGATTCAGAAACATTATTTGATACGATTCGTATATTAAGAAATCATATTACAATTGGTCATCAAACATTAAAAACATTTAATAGCAAAACTGAGAAATTGGCTTCATTCACAGCTGATGATTTTTGGGCGTGTGCACCGATGTTGTTAAGAAACGTCTTTGGCTTAATAACGTTAAACGATGATGACTTTCGAAAAGTACAACGTAATTATGAGTATTATAATCTATTTTCTTCCGATATGTTTGAAAAGTCATCTAAATGGCTGAAAATTTCTTCAATTATTTTTGATATTATGAACTGTAAAAATGATAATTTTTTATCTCCTAAACATTACATGTTGGCAAACGAACTTTTGCAACACGAACGTTCGGCTGATCTGTTATCAATTTTCAATCGTTATGGGCATACCTGTTCGTATCAAACTATAATTAAATTGCATCAGGAGGTGGCGAAGAAAGAAGGCGATAGTTATTGTCTCCCAAGCACCGTACGTCCTGATTGTTTCGCAATCAAATGTGCAGATAATTTTGATATTAATCGAGATACAATTCATGGTCAAAATAGTATTCATATCATGAATCAAATCATCATTCAAAACCCTCAAAATGTACTGAATGTGACAGCTAATACTAGTCAGAATGTTAATGCAAATATTTCTATTAACGAAGGTTCATTTACTATGGATCAAAGCAACGAAAGTAGTAACAATCAAGATGTTTTGAGTGGTAAAAAATCTTGAATATTACAATTTTGTGAAACTCCTCTCAAACTTCAAATTTAAAGAGTTGAAGTTTATGCTCAAATTTACAGGGAGTTTGCCGATTTTTTACCCCCACTCCTCACTCTATTATTGATCTTAAAACCGTTTCTGTTGCACTAGTATTGGTCTTAAAGATTCCACTCGAGAAGATTCTAAATCTTCTAGCAGTTTTGACGAAGGAAAATCTGCTGCTATGGCACTAAACTTGAGTGATTTTGCAAAGTCGCATAAAGTATGTCCCTTGCAGTAAACTAGAGGAACCAGTTGTTCCATTGTTCCATCATTTACTATCATCTGGAACCATCATGAGGAGTTTCACAGTTTAGCCCTGTTAGGGCCTGTTCTACCAAGGTTTTTAATTTATCATTTATCACCAATTCGTATGTGACTTGAACGTAGTTCGAGAGCATGATCCATATGCTGAATTTGATCATCTGTTTTGAACCATCGACTTTTTTTTGCTTTAGTGTCAATGATAAATGTTGAAGAATCGCAGCTTCAACATATTTTCTCACCAATCGCAGCCACTATTACATCACATATTAGTACTATTACTACTAATGATTTACCTCAATTACTAGCCACAAGCACACCACCTAGACCGTTAACAACACTATAAGTGACTCCGAAATTATTTATTCCATTCAAAAATCACATTTTTGATATACCATTATTTGCCTATGCTTTATTGAAATATTATTGTTCATCGAGAAACCGTGAGATGCCGTTATTGACTGGTTTCTTTGCTACGCATCTGAAAGCAACACCGAGGCCACCACATATTATTTCATTTTGTCCGCCGATTAACGAGGACCCGAGCAGCAAAGCATGCGCCAAAATATGTCTTGAAATGACCAAATGTTCTATTCTTGACAATCAAATTCAAAAAGAAACTGTCTTTGTTGCTGATGAAAAAATATACAGTAATTGTATTAAAGTAAGATTGCATTTATAGTAGACTTATTGGAAAATTTTAATCTGCTGTGTGCTCCTCACCCGGTATGTTTGGATCACCGTCGATTTTCGATCTCAGCTGTTGCCCTTTATTACAAAAGAACATTCTTTTTTTTATCGTAATTTACAAATATTTTCTTGTAATTTTAGATCAAGGATAGTTACAATGGTAAAGATCCATTTTCGAATATATTTGTTATGCCAGGTGACTTCCATATTATGAAAAATTATATGATTTTAATTTGGCTTGTACTAGATGGCATCGGGATAGATGATTTATTTGGCCATATATATCATGGTGCTACTCTTCGTTCGATTCTAAATGTGTCGCATTTTAATAAATCATTCAGATGTGTAAAACTATTATATACGTCATTATATATATTGTTAATCGAACAATTTTATATTTCGTTAACATTGTCATCTGATCCACCAACAATGCATGCATTGAAGCAAATACAATCGATTCTTTCTCAACCTCCGAATCCAACTGTAGAAGGTTCAAAACTGTCATGGTTTGATTATCTTGTCATGACTTTGAATTCATTGAATGTAATGGAATTATTTAAAAAATGGTGTACGGATTATTCAGCAAAATCTATTACCTTTCGTTTTTGGACATTCATTTTATTTAATTTACTTGAACCTATTATTAAATTGTACTTATCTATCCGAACCGTAAATTTCGATTCACGTAATGCAGCCATTTCATTGATTGTACCAATGTTCTTTGGACAAAAACGAAGAAATTACGCCCCATTAGGGGCAAGACACATTGCAGATTTGCAACAAGCGTCAAGTTATTTGTTAAATAATCTATCAACGTCATTTGCTGTTTAACGAACAAGTCGTCCATTTTCATCTATTGCACTTGATCAAACCATCGAATGTACTATTAATAGATACGGAAAAGGACGCGGTGGTATAACCGGTCATTTTAACATGGATTTAATTGACAAGTGGACTCAGTCATTTGCTTTTAGAGCATTACTTTCACATGTAACGTCTGAAATTTGCGGATACGAAACAGCAACAAATAATCTCGATAGCCATATTGAATGTTCACCCAGTCGACTTGCTGTTGATATTACTGATTTACAGCTAATTTTATCAAAATTAAAACCACAAAATTTATTCCTCGGCGCAAGCAATCAAGTTCGAACTTTATTTACTGGTAAAATAATTCATAGTGATATCATCGATAATATTTGTTCATCGTACAAAAGAGGTTTCGATTTAATGAAAAGTTATATTGAAGATCGTTTATTAATTTCAAAAGTCAAAATTGAAGATAAAATTGATTTTGGAAAAGTTCTGCGATTAACTGATTCTGATAAATACACATGTAGTACAACAACTAGTAAAAAAGAAAAATCGTTAACATGTAATCAAGTTGAATCATTCATCAGACAAATATTTTTAATTGCCCAATCAAGGTCGATAAAATTAAATACAATATTCATGCATGAATTTACTCATCAACCATTTTCATTAGCTAACAAGAAAGACCCATCACTATTATATCAATCCATAAAAGCCGTGCTTCAAAAATTTCTTCAAGAAAAATTTCATTCTGCATTTTTACCAGTTGATGGCCAGATACACGATCCAACCAGCTCGGCGCTAGTAATTGATGGTGGTCAACTATTACAACAATCTCCACCACGCGAATCGAAAAAACCAATAAAATATTATGCTTCGGAATTAATTAGTCGTTTTATTAGAATTCAATTTAACCATCATAGCCGAATTGATATTATTTTTGATTCACCTAATAGCAAACAATTGAAAAGATTTATTGAACGTCATAGTAGTCATTCAGTACAATATAATATGAATGAGGATTCTATTTTACCGATTGGAGAAGAATNACTATTACAACAATCTCCACCACGCGAATCGAAAAAACCAATAAAATATTATGCTTCGGAATTAATTAGTCGTTTTATTAGAATTCAATTTAACCATCATAGCCGAATTGATATTATTTTTGATTCAGCTAATAGCAAACAATTGAAAAGATTTATTGAACGTCATAGTAGTCATTCAGTACAATATAATATGAATAAGGATTCTATTTTACCGATTGGAGAAGAATATAACAAATTATTGCAATCAAATCGTGCTGTAGTAGCAAGAGCCGTACGTGATTCATGGTTAAAACTATCTTCAAAAATACCTGAAGATAACTATATGTTAGTGGCTGGTCCAGACGAAAAAGTATATCTATTAACTGCAAACATGTGTGCTATGGTGAATGAATTAACATCGAATCATATTGAAGCAGACACTCGTATATTTTTGCACGTAAAACACATTTCATCATTCAATAATTTCGTACAAGTTGTTATTCTAGCAAGTGATACTGACATCATCGTTTTAGCTATTGGATTTGCATCGGAATATAAAATAAAATTGTATGTACATTCATCGCCTTCAAGAAAAAAATTAGCCAAGTATATTGACTGTTCTTTGATCGCACAAGAATGTTGTGATTACTACAAGTTTCATCCTTTGATTTTAATAGCGCTACATGCTTTAAGTGGATGTGACACAACATCATTTATTAGAAATATTAGCAAACAAAAGATATTTCGAACATTTTTTGAAAAACCATCAGATTATTTTGATCTGTTCGATTTGTACAAACTTCCCACCTCTAGCGAATCTTTTGCATCTGCTGAGCGTTTATTAATCAAGTGCATGAATTCATCGTTATCATGTACGTATGATGATTAGTATAATTATTGGATAATGACAAGATTTTATTGAATTGTTGTTCTCACTAACTGAAAATCTAATTTTTAGCATTGGACGAGGTTCGTACAAATCAAGCAATCACGCATTTAAGATCAAAATCATCTGAATTTTTTTTGAATGCACTATTGCCTACAACAAATGCATTTCAATACCACTGCAAACGAGTATCTGTGCAATGCAATATTTGGTTCCAATCTTTATATCAGAACATCGAATATCCATCACTTATTGGTAATGGTTATGTTTTAGTGGATGATGAAATTAAAGTTGAATGGAAATCCACTCCTTCTATGCCAGATACAAACGTAATTATTATATGCGGTTGTAAATCTGGATGTATTTCAAGAAAATGTAAATGTCTAAAACATGAATTTAAATGTTCATTATTGTGCAAATGCAAAAGCTGTGAAAATTCATATGAAAACTGCCAGTTTAGTTCAATCTCTCAATCGAGAAAAGCGGTGAGCAGATCTATGTCGTATAATTTGATATTTGAAAGTTTGTTTAATTTATATAAAGACTTTTTCAGTTGGTAAAGTTATAGATGATATTTCTGTCTGTTAATCGTTTTTAGACTATAAAGAAATTCACCGATCGAAAGAAATTGCTCGATTTTGAAGACCATGAAAGTGACCTTGAAGTAATTTTTTTCTCATCAAATTTCTTCAGTTGAGGTTACACGCTTTGTTTTAGGATGTACAAAGAACAACGAAGAAGCAAAATGTAAGTTCACTAGAATTCTAGCTAACGACTTCAAAATTTTTGTTTTAGAGTATCGATAGCGACGAGGAAGATGATATTAACAATGAACTGCAAATGACCAACAATAATAATTCGGTAATTATATTTATTTATTTCCGTTAGTATACGTCTCATAATATCAATATTTGTTTAGATTTCTTCACAAGATGTCTCATCTGAATATGAATGGTCTGATGATGAAGATGAGGTAACTGATGTAAGATCATAATCACAAAAGATCAAATTCGATTAATCTCAACATCAGTTTTTGCTTCCAGGTTGTTGTATCTACACAATACTCATCAAACGAAGAGGATGAATTCTCCTCTCAACAAATATCATCCCAATTATCAACTGAGTTCGATAATGACGATGCAGACACAGGAGTTTATATTAGAACAGAAAGTGGAAGTCAAAAATCTATGGAGTACTCGTATAATTTCGACGACCGCTAAAGTCATCGAAATATTCTACAGAACTTCACTTCCACTGTCTGTGTTGTCATTCTCTTTTTTTATGCAATTATATGTTTTTTTACTTTTGAATATTAATAAATCCAGCATTATGAAGGGAATATGAGTTATCACAATCGTACTAAACTATAGGTCAATTTCTTTGCACTCTTTTGAAAAAAACTGGCAAGGACATAGTTAGATTCGAGCTCGAAAGCCCAAGTATCAATTCCACACAAAAGTAGAGAACTTAGTAAAAGTAGAGTAAAAGTGCTTCCTGAACTACAGATATTTGTAAGTAAACTTTATTCCGCTCTTTAAAATCGCTGAGTGACCAAATACTCCTTTTGTTACTAAAAATATACAGAAAACTAAAGAATTTAGAAGAACAAACAATTTCTTCTATTATATACTTTTTCGTTTCGCCGCCATTAGTCCCATACGTTTTCACGGTTGCGACCTCTCCTCACCATCGATCTCGAAAACGCGTGTAGTGTTTGTCCTCTAATTATAGCAATACATGTATTCTACTAAAAAAGATCTTTACTGAAAATTTTGCCTTTTGAAATGCAGTTTAGTGAATTAAACATAAAAACTCCTCTTCGACGAGTCTTGAGCAACCAATAGCAAAATATAGACTGTAAGCGAAAGAAGCAAGCGAAAAAAACAGGCTGACATCAGCGATCAGACAACAAGCAAAAAGAATCGCTCTGACTTCATGCATTCTTACTTGGATAACTGACTTGAAACTGTTTGTGTTGTCATTGAAGGAATAATGGGATTCTCAAACAAGTGACTTTTTTAATGCAAGATCTCTAGTTCGTACCAAGACTCAGCCATATCCGGGCCCGTCGTGACCACCTTTAAAGTTCATTGCATTCTTAGTTGAGGTTTGCGGTTTCCCGCGTCAAACACCGAGGCTCTGAAAAGGCTTTTCGATTTTAATTTTTGATCGAAACAATATTTTTAAAGATGGTAACGACATCTGAGACTTTGTTTACTTTTGCCAAAAGTTTAAGCTTGATCAGATGAAAACCTGACGGAAATCGATGGTTAATCGATATTATAGTAGGAAATAACTAATTGTAGAGACAGAAAAGTCCCTCCTTAATAGCACTCATCTGTGGCTCGCGCTCGCTAGTTCTAGAGTTGTACAATCTTTTAAATTATATAATTATATATGCTTGAACGCCTTTTTTACCAGAGTAGCTCATAATGAGTGAGATTTATAGAAAACACGACGTCGCGAGAGTTGAGATTCTTTGGTTTTAAAAGGTATCTTAGATAAGGTGTTATCTACTTGTGGTAAAAACTTCAGCACAATCGAATGATATTTCGGGCGGATCGCAGATCCATAGACAGGAGTTTTCAAGGAGACATACGAAAAAGAAATTTTTGCTTTGTACTTTTTCTTAACGCTTAGCGTCCTTTCCAGACAAACTTCCGCAAAGATAACTACGGTTAATTAAGTCTCTGCGGATCGTTCGTTATAATTTTGGTAGTTCTGAACCAGTTGTGTTTCTCAGGGCAATTATCAACCTCATAGAATATCTTCTTTCTGTACTTTTATTTGAACTCTTACAATTGGTAACCTCTTGTGTTTTAAAAATATCTTTCCTTGACGTTCCGCAATAGCTTTTTTTGTTTCCAATTTCTTTACTAATTCATTTAGCTTTTCATGTATTTTCCTAGCAGAATCTTAGCACGGAGTTGTCTGTGGTTTACATTTTTATATCTGTTCTTTTCAATAGCTGTTTGGAAGTGATTGTCAATTGTTATCCTAACTTCTTGTATAACTAATTCCTTTTGTATGTCAGTATTATTTAATCATCTCATTATTACATTCACCACTTTCTCAAGATTTATTGTTTGTTTGTTTGAAGGTTCAGGTTATTGATTTCATTTCTTTTCTTTTCTCAATGTTAAAAACTTTTTGAATTTATCTCTAAATAACGGTATTCTATTTTAAATCTGATAACACTACTCCGGTAGCAACTGAGGTTGATTCAGTATTTTTAATTTTTCTTCCACTTTTTCAATTTGTCTTTGCATAACTACTAATTTTCCATAGCTAGCTTTTATAGTGTTATTCATTAATTTCATACTGCCTTGACAAACTGAAAAAGCGAAAAAAAAATTAAAAAAAATTAAAAACAATTAAAAATTCTACAAAAATTAAAAACAACAAAAGAGGTTTCCAATAGTAAGAATTCAAATAAAAGTACACAAAGAAGATTATCCTGCGAAGTTGATAATTGCGATGAAAAACATCATTAGTTCAGAACTAGCAGAATAGCAAAATTTATTACAAAAACTCTAAGTAAAATAAGCAATAAAATTCTATTAAGAATACAAATGATTTTATTCAAAAATTAAGCAAAGTTGAGATGAATAAAAATACAACTGTAGCTAGCTTAGATCTTGTAGATTTGTTTACATGAATCGATAAACATAAAGCCATTGAAATATTGAATGATTTCTTGGACAAGAGTGACTGTTGTAATAATGACCAATTATATAGCATGATGTTAGCATCAGGAATTGTAAGTTTAATCCACAAGGGGAACTCTCCTTCTACTCTTTCATAAATCTTTATGTTTAGACCTCACCGAGGTAGCTAAACAGGAGGTGGTAACTCGAGAACCACTGATAACACTTTCATAGACTACAATGATTTTTTCATTTCTTATTTTGTACGTTTTGTGTCGTTTAAATTTTAATTTGTTATTTTCTAATGTTCAAAATAAAATTTAAGGTACACAACACACTTCGTATTCAACCAGATAGTCTTGCTCTAGCTATTTCCATTTTTGGTTAAATATGTGAAGTTAAACATTTACTAGAAAACGAGTATAATTAAATGAAGAATAAAGATAGTTTGTCCACTTCGAAGTATTGCGAGCATATTTATCGTAGTAAAAGCTTAATTAGACTTTTCTCCTTGATCTAATCAATGATTCACTCATAGAAAAATTTAGTTTTCGTAACCGAGAGCTTTTACGTTAATTTTTTTTAAAAATTTGTCAACTAGGATTGAAAGAATATTATTTCTGTGATCTTTTAAATTCACGTCCATTTCTAAATATACTAGGATATCTAGGAGATTTATGATATATATCCTTACAAACCAAAATATCCTAAGAATGATGCAATGTTCAAATTCTAAAGAATACAGCAAAACAAAAAGAAGCTGTGGTAAATGAATTGTTAGTTCATTGCGCGATTGTATCTGATGGAGTTCTGCCGTTATGATGTATCGTTGCTATACCATTGTTCACTCATATTTTAGCGGACAATGGCTGCGCTTAGAATCACAGAATATATGGCTAGTTGATGGTAAATAGCTGAAGGGTACTTTCGCACAGGTCCGCCCAGTATTACATGAGCTAAAATCCGGGAAGGTTTGACTATGCAATCGATAATCCTACTAAAGGTATGTAAAGACTCCTGTGACTCCATGAAAAAATTATTCCGAACACGGTTTTTCCTTGACCATAAGTTCTGAACTGAAGCGTTTTTAGGGATGCCAGAGCAGCGAAATCTATCCTTACCCAATACTAACAAGCGTTCTCATACTGCCGGCTGGAAAGAGCATACAAAGTTGCATATTTCTATCCGCAAACGAGATTTTCTTCTCTGACATTCGGAAAGAATGTTTGACTGGAGGACCTTATCTGCTTTAGCAGATATCACTCGTTTATAGCGTATTGGACGAGCTTAAAATCCAACAAAACATAAATTTATTTACATACAAACGAAAGCGGCTTACAAGTTTGTTCGTATGTCGCAACAATGAAGTCTCTAGATTTCTCACTTCTTCATGGTAAGCATAGCCGTGAGTCCTACTTTGGCACTTCATGGCTTCCTCCCTCGAAAACCACGCATCAGTTCTTCGAGATCTTGTTAGCCCACACACTACTCGACTAGTGCTACAAAAGGCGCAAGGTATTGACTTTGGCTTGTGGTCTTTCTTGTGGCGGTTTTCTAGAAATTCGCTCAAAATCCTATTATCTGGGCAGGGTCGAGAACGGGAAAAAATACTAAATACCCACAACATGACATGTTGAATCCGAATTTCAGGTCAATTTGGATTCAATATTTATGAGCACCTGAGGGTTTTGCAACACTTACTTTCCCCGTATTTTTGGAATAGCCTTTTCATTTTGGACCTTTTAGACTTAAACTTCCTTCTAAAAGATCCACTATTTCATTTCCACTGACTCTATCAAACTGTTTCTTTATACTGTAAAATAAAAGAATATAGAAGAGATATTTCGAAGCGTTAATCTGGATCACTTTGTAACCCAAACGCCAGTTTTCCAGTTTAGCTCTACATATTTTGGGATTTTTTTGACAGAATTGTATACCTTCGTTGGGCGCTCGGGTTCGTTTTTCTGTTCTTCATCAAGAAAAATACAGTTTCATCATCTTGTTCATCAAGTGACGGTTGTTCTTCTTCCTCTGGGTCTTCTTCTTCGGACGACGACTAATCAAGCGCGACCCGTTGAAAACTTTTGACGGAACAATGATCAGTATTACATACACCACACATGACTGTAGCTTTTTATCCATAGCACGCATTCGTTTGAAATGCTCCACATGATTTGTTAGAGTCCTGTTATCAATATTACACAGAGAGCAGTACCACTCATTCTCTATGCAATATTCAAACATATCAAATATATAAAACAAAGCGACAACAGTGTATTATGAGAACTAGGATCTACCTGAAAAGACACGGTTACACTCGGTTTCGAATAACTTTCGGTAACAGAAT